ATCAGAGAGAACAAAGCAGAGCTGAGATGTAAGCAAGGAGGTAAGAAAAGATCTGATGAAAAAAATAAAAGGAGAACTCTTAAAAGGGAAGGCTTAAATATTATCACAAATCTGGCAATGGGAAAAACTGATTACAAAAATGTTACATTACTTAACCACAGTACCTGGTGAGCATCTCCTTCTCTTTGTTGGAGGCACAGCCGCAGCTGCTCAGGTTCTTGCTGGGCGTGGACAGGAAGTAGAGACAGTGGTTCTTGAAAGTTTGATCTATCAGAGGAAGCAACACCTGGGGAGAAGAAATCCAGCCATGTGAATAAGACCGTAAAAGGTGGGGTAGGTAAGAATGGAGAAACTAGCTCGAGTGCTCTAGAATTTGAAAGTACACAGCCGAAAAAAATCTGCCCCTTCCTTCAGACTTCCTTACAGAGCCCCTCCTCCAACACACACGAACGCGCACATGACCAATGAGGGCACGAGATAAGTTTGTGCACAGATGGAAGGCTGACAGGCAGGTAGGCCATCCAGTTATTTTAGCCGGGCCGGCTCAGATGATTGGTCGTACTTTTTACAGCACCACGGCTTCCACAGATGATATTGTATTTATTGTCAAAGCATTTAATGTATTCATTGCTATCGGGATGTTAATAGCATTCCATGGAATATAACAAAAAGGGTTTCTGAAGTGAATTACCTACCCCACCTTTAATACAAGCTTTAGAAATAAAGTCAATCTAATACGTATCACTGGTTCTGTTGCAAAAGCTTCAAACCTTGGCAAAGAACTTGATTTCCTGGTCATGAGGCGATTTGTCCGTCTTCCCACTGGTGGCCATGGCCTCTGGATTAATAAAGAATGATGAGTGGCAAGTTCAGGGTAATCACATTCCTCAAACGAGATCATAATAAATGTTAAGCACCTCTTAGTGCACTTGTGTTTGAAATGTCGCACACTCACCCAGATGAGCGATGAACTCCTGGGCAGAGTCGACGTACTTCAGCAGCGTTTTGAGGAGCTTGTATGTAAAACGCTTCTCCATGGATGACGAGTCCTGACCCACGTCCTTCTGATCTCTGTAGCATGAGAGAATCACAAACCAATTATGTTCAAACTACGTACAAATTCAAAAGACTCTTTCATTTTCTATCTACCCATACTGCATAATGTAGTTATTTGAACATAACAGTGTTTGATTTAACATCTTCATCTTCCTAATGAATCTATCAAATGACTTTTCCTAATCACAAAGTTTAAAACGTCTTTTGTTTCTGTAATTGACTCAACAGGAGTCACTGTCGATAAGGGTTGCCCCACTGCTAATCAATAGTATACAAAAATGAAGAATGAATAAAGAAAAAAATAGCTTGTAGTCATAGTATTACATTTACATTACATTTAGCTGACGCTTTTAATAAGTGCATTCGACCAAGAAGATACACACTTGAAGAAAACAGAACCATAAAAGTACATCAGGTTTCCGAAAACCAGTCAGTATCTGGTGTGAGGGTTAGGGTTAGGGTAATGTTGTGAATCGAGTGGCCCATGGTGGTGGTGGGGTTATGGTATGGGCAGGCGT